AACTCTCTGTATCCATTGCTCTTTGTTTGGAACCATGGATTTACACCCAAAAAACGGAAACATAATTTGCTTCATTCAATAAATAGTTCAACAGTAGCTTTTTATGTTTCTCTTTGAAGGAGGCTGGTCTTCTTATTTATGTCCCCTATGACATGCTGCCAATATAATCTCACGTGGTTGCAATCCCACCAAATATTTTCCATATCGCCCCGTTCAGCTCCACACCTCCAGCATCGATCACTTACCAATGGGCAAAATGTATGTAATCGAGCTGGAGTCCTATACCATCTAGTGACTCTTTTAAAGAAGATCATATTTATAGACATGCTGACTTTTGTGTTCATCCCCATTTTAAACACATATGACCAATCCTCATAAGTCATTTGAATATTAATGCCTTGCATCCACTTCCGTTGAAAAGAAGGTACTAGCCCTTCCATAGCCCCTCTCTGTGTTATGTTATATATACTGGATAGATACCGTTTATTCAATGTCCCTGGACCACACAAAAGCTCAAATTGTGTTTTATCTCTTGAATGCCAATATGGTATCACTGATTTAAATTTAAAAAAAAAAAAAAAAAAATTAAATGGGAAATTCCCATTATATCTATGAGTGTTGGCTTACTTTTCCATTGGGGGAAGTCCCTAATCTTAGGGGGTGTTTCTTCCATCAATAAACTTATTATAGATGGATCTGCCTCTCCTATTATGCTTCTTAGTAAATTATAACCATGACCATTCTGAAACTCCAAATTAAGTGCTATAGGGAGGAATACAGATAGTCCCAGGGCCAACCCCCAAATATCTTCAAGATGTCTCCATGTCTGCAAATTATTGACAAACAGGCTTAAGCCCCTTATGTCTGGACTGATCCACACTGATCAAGCAGGTTTTGTTCCAGAGACAATACCACTAAGATCCTTAATGTTATACATGGAGCAACAATAAATACAACTCCCACAGCCTTATTGGCAATTGATACTAAAAAAGCCTTCGACAGGGTGGATCAGTTCTTTCTATTTTCTATATTGGAGGCTTGGGGGCTTGGGCCTAAAATATGCAATTGGATACAGACATTATATAGAGGCCCAACAGCTAATATCCGAGTTAATGGCCAATTATCGACCCCTTTTAACATTGGTAATGGTACTCGCCAAGGCTGCCCTCTGTCCCAGCTTCTTTTTTTTTTGGCATTTGAACCATTTCTTGAGGCTATACGAAAGAATATAAATATTAAAGGATATAGATATACTGGAGGAGTGGCAAAGGTAGCTGCTTTTGCAGATGATGTGTTACTTATGATTACAGAACCATTACCTACGCTATCTTATGTTCAGATGGAATTGGAAAAATTTGGTGCTTTTTCAAATTTTAAAGTGAATATAGATAAGTGCGAAATATTAGGTGTCGGAATAGATAAAAGATTGAAAGAGCAAATACAGAGGAAGATTAACTATAAGTGGACAGATACAGGTTTAACATATCTAGGGATACAGCTGTCAGTACAACATAAAGAACTAATTACATTAAATTATGGAAGGTTGGTAGAAAATATAGGTAAAGATCTTAAACAATGGGATTTGCCCTTCTTTTCCTTAATGGGTAGAGTGAACATCATAAAAATGATGATACTTCCCAAAGCTTTGTGAGGTAGGTAACAGTGCACTTAACTGGCAATTTTGCCAAGGTAGCATCTGTAACCTAGCCTTTATAAAGCTCTGTTCCAAGGCATACCATGACTTTTTCTTATCTGTGGCCGTCCTCTCTCTTAATTGCGTGAACAATACTGCCACGTAATATCCGTAAATATGTGGGAGGCCCAGTCCCCCTCTATCGATAGGTAATGTAAGTATATTATAAGCTATACATGGCATTTTATTACTCCAAATAAACTATATGATCAGGGAGTGCATATTTCTAAAAAAAACTCTCTAGGCATTAACATAGACAATTTCTGAAACAAATACAAAGCTTTGGGAAGTATCATCATTTTAATTACTGAAAACACTTCTTCTAAAGTAAATTGAGCTTCTAATTGATCTTTTATCGCGGTAGGAATTTTCAATAAAATATTCTTCTAATTTAGGGGGTGTACTGTCAAGGGCAGGTAAATTATACAGGTCTTGATAATAATCCCTGAAAGAGGCCACTATGGTATCTGTGGTGTAAAATTGACTCCCATCTTTATTTTTTATTTTATATATATATGTTTGCTGTAGTTTTGCTTTCAGTGCCCTTGCCAGTAATTTCCCACTTTTATTTCCATGTGTATAGAAAGAACTTTGCGTCATCTGGACTGCTCTCTGCACTTCAATTGTCAGAAGCGATTTAATCTATATGCCATTAAATGTTTAAAATTCTCTTCTGATGGTGTCTGTTTATGACAGCTCTCTGCCTCATCTATTTTTCTTGTAAGCAGATGTATTTCCTTTATACGTTCCTTTTTACAACGAGATCCCTATTTAATTAATATACCCCGGATCACTCCTTTATGAGCTTCCCATATCCATGGGTCGTTCATATCACCTGTACAATTTTCTAAAAAATAATGAGATTGTGTCCCTTTTAAATCCTCAATCACCCCTGGATCATCAAGGAGTGTATCATTTAATCTCCAATTTATATTCTTCCTATAATCTCCTTGAACTTCAATATTTAAAAAAATAGGGGCATGATCCGACCATGTAATATTTCCAATTGAGGCTCCTTTAATCAAGTGCAAAAATCTGTGATTTATTAGAAACATGTCTATCCTTGAATAACTATCTGCTGCTGGTGAATAAAAAGTATAATCCCTATTAAGAGGATAAAAAATACGCCAGCAATCGATCAATTGATAACCATGGAGTATATTTAAAACTGATGACCTCTGATAATACTGTGTTTCTCTAGCCTGTGAAGAGCTATCAATTGCATAGTCTAACACCATATTCCGATCATTACCAACTACTAAAACTCTTCCAGAAATCTACCAGCTTCCTCAGACAAGAGTTTAAATATGATGCCTGATTTGAATTAGGTGCATATATATATTTGCTAACGTAATAATTTGGTTGTTAACTTTCCCCTTTAAGAAAACATATCTTCCTTCCCGGTCATATTTGCTGTCCAGCTCAATAAAATCCAGATTTAAGGTCAAGAAGATTGCCACTCCTCTAGACTTCCCTTTTGTATAGTTACTATAGAAGGTCTGCTTAATTATTTACTTTGAGTCTTGGTTGAAAATTACCTTTATAGTGGGTTTCTTGATTAAATACCACATCTTTTTTTGCCTATCTAACTCCTGTGCTAACATTGACCGTTTTCTTGGGGCCTTTAACATTCAAAGACATAAAGCTAATTTGAACCATATTAAAAGTTAAAAGGAAAGCTTATAGAACATCTTATTCTAGTGGTATTATCATAGAGCAAGGTTTTAGGCAGAAAAAAAGGGGATAGATAAAAAAATGAAGTCTATTTACAATTATATGAGTATAGTAACTCACACCAAAATTGGTTATGACGCCCCACCTGTGGGAGACACAATCGTGTCCACAAGTAATTTTGGCATCTTTCAGAAGGGGGAGGGGTAACGGGTTAATCAATTATAGCTATCGGGATGGATGCTATAAGTACTCTAAGTAATTTACTATTCCTCCCATTAAACTCTAAGTCGTCAGGACGTTCTTAGGTTAGTAGGCCTTGCTCCCTGATTGCACTCATAGTTCTCTCTGTGTTATATGTTATTGTTTATTTCTATAACACAGCTTGCTTATATTTATTTTATATATTATCTCTGTGGCGCCACTGTTCTCTTTTTCCATATAGGTTATCTAATGTGTGTTTATTTTTCTGTGACAAGGAATTGTTGTAAGCAATTGTTACATCGTATTGTACGTCATGTATTTCTTGCATACTGTTTCTAAACTATATATATATATATATATATATATATATATAAAAGATAGACTGTATCTTGCACTCAAATAAATAACTATAAGTTGGAAAAATCCTTATATAGTAAATTCTTGAGATAAGAATTGACAACTATAACCACTGTGCCACTAGTAAAAATAGTAACCACCACCAAAGGTTACAGGATAAAAGTACATAGAGGGTGCTCATTGAAATAAATCAATAATAAATACTGGACTCAGTGGAAATAGCAAATTTAAATGATCCTAGGTTAATCCTTCTGAGGTTTAAAATGTATCAGCTGGTCGGACCTGGACCTCCTATAGAGTAAGGTATCTTGCACTCAGACTCCAAAATTTTTTACATTGGGTTCAGTGCCAGGGCTTAAATATCCAAATAGAAAAATAGTTGGTTGCACTCTCGGAGTTCCATTAAAATATAACTTTTATTCCAGCTTCTAAAACAGATCAACGTTTCAGTCCATCTTGTGGACTTTCATCAGGATCACAAATATGTGTTAAAAACATTTCATATATAGGATGCAATAATTGTAATCTAACTCACCCCAGGTGTTGTGTGTGAGAGCCGGCGTCCTACCGGATCGCGTGCGCATGTGCGGCATTAGCTCCGCCCATTTCCGTGACGTAGTTGCGTGACGCTAACGTCGTTGCCATGGTGACGCGGTATACCATGGACTACACCTATTACGCCACTGAGCTGAAGGCACAATTATCTGACCGCAATACCTATTTGCCATTGGAAGGAGACCCTACGAGAGGTATCCAGAACAAAATTGAAGAAATTTTAAATATGGGCCTAGCAGCAGGCTACATAGATTTGAAACTGCAACAGTACCTCACTAGACAACATCCACGTACCCCAATCATTTATTCAATCCCCAAGATCCATAAAGATTCTAAACAACCACCGGGACGACCTAAAGTCTCGGCGATAGGTGGAGTGCTGGAGCCCATTGCTAAATGTTTAGACCACTTGTTCCAGGGCCCAGTAAGACAACTGCATACCTGCATTAAGGACACACAATCACTTATAACCAGCATTAACAGAATACAATATGGCAACTCCAAACCTATTCTCATAACCATGGACGTACAAAGCTTATACACCGTTATCCCGCACGAAGATGGCGTTGAAGCTATGCGGCAGGTCTTAACAAGGTCTATAGTGTATCAAGGTCCTCCCATAGAGTTCATGTTAGAACTCCTTACATTAACCTTAGAAAACTACTATTTTAGGTTTGAGGACAGTTGGTACCTTCAAATAGCGGGTACATGAATGAGAGCAACCATGGCGCCCATGTACGCCAATGCGTATATGTTTATCTATGAAGAAAAACATCTGCTGGAAAAATATAACAATAGCATAACAGCTTACTATAGATTTATTGATGACTTGTTCATCGTATGGAATAACTCGGCCGAGAAAGCACAAAGAATGGTCAAGGATCTTACTTCAGACGTCTGTTAAATTCACTGCAGATATAAATACTGAGAAAATACATTATTTGGATCTACAAATCAGCGTGGGACCCTCAAGCCTCCAATACTCATTATATACCAAGCCTATGGACAGAAACACGATCCTCCACTATCAGAGTGCACATCCTAGGGCACTCAAAAATTCGTTACCCAAGGCACAGTTTTTAAGAGTCATCATAAATTCCTACAAAGGGGGGATGATCAACATACCGTAGAGAAAGCGCTTCAAGAAGCACTGAGTGCGCACGCCTCTGAAAATAGGAAAAAGTCTTCAGTCAAGAAGAATTGGAAAATATTATCTAGTGACGAGACACTTCCACAGGAATTCAAAGAAGCTCCACTGGTTTGTTTTAGGAGGAACAAAAGTCTGAAAGACCTTCTGGTCCATACTGACCCTGTGTGCAGTTATCAAAAAATATCAAAGGAACAGATAAGGGGATCGGTCAGATGTCTGGGATGTGTTACATGTAGCCATATGACCCCAGCAAAGAAGTTCAACCATCCTCATAGCAACACAGTCTACCCTATTAGATTTACAATTACTTGCAAAACCACACATGTAATTTATAAATTAAGCTGCCCATGTGGCCTTTGCTATATAGGGAAGACAGAAACAGCTATCTGTGAACGCATCAGGGGACATAGGTCCAGTATTCGACTGGCATATAGGGATGGCCAGTCAGACAAACCGGTAGCAAAACACTTCTTGGAACTAAGACATACTTTGGCCACATTAAAGTTTGTGGCGATAGACCACATCCTGCTACCAAGAAGAGGTGGCGACCATGGGAGGATCCTTCTTAACAAAGAAGCGTTCTGGATACACGAACTAGACACATTATCCCCTAGAGGGTTGGATAAATCTCTGTCTCTACACTCCTTCCTGTGATAATGCAATATTTTCTTTAGCCCTAGCTTGTATATAATTTATTTTTATTGAAAGTAGTTATTGTTGTTGTTTATTTTATCTGTTTATTTTGCTTTACATTGCTAAGTCAGTAGTCTTCTCTAAAGGGTGTTAACTATATAAATATTTGTATATAGCAAACCATTATGTTAGCACCAGTAATTTGTGGCTTGTGAAAAGGAATTATCCCCTAGGCACTTACAAGGAGGCAATATATTTATCCCAGAGTCTATAACTTAGCAAAGTTTAATGCATTTTATTGTACATGAATTGGATGCCATTATGTTTATTGTGGTTTTCTTTGGCACTTTAACACAAATATACACTTGGTCACTTTATTACTTAGCACATAGCACTTTTCACATTATATGGCACTTTATAATTATATGGCACTTTAGATTGCCACTTTATTCAAATGGCACTTTATAATATTGGCACTTTAATGCTATACAATTTACAGCAAAATTATACTTGTTTTTGCACTATGTACTATATACAATAATGGTTGATAACAACAATTCACAACTACAATTGATATCACTTTGGTTTTTGTCCTGTTATAATCTTTGGGATAGCTTTATCCCCATTTATAGAGCTGTCACTTATTAAGGCTCCTTTTGCACGGTGGTTAGGAGGTTCATTGGTGTTAAACGTTGCCATGGTGACTTTTTTGGTATATCCCGCGGCACCATGGCAACGACGTTAGCGTCACGCAACGACGTCACGGAAATGGGCGGAGCTAATGCCACACATGTGCACACGATCCGGTAGGACGCCGGCTCCCACACACAACACCTGGGGTGAGTTAGATTACAATTATTGCATCCTATATATGAAATGTTTTTAACATGTATTTGTGATCCTGATGAAAGTCCGCAAGATGGACTGAAACGATCTGTTTTAGAAGCTGGAATAAAAGTTATATTTTAATGGAACTCTGAGAGTGCAACCAACTATTTTTCTATTTATATATATATATATATATATATATATATATATATATTTATATATATATATATATATATACACACACACACACACACACACATATATATATATATATATATATATATATATATATTTATTTATTTTTTTCATACTTTTTGTACAATGATTGCAATGTATTAATTTTCTTGAGTTATTGTTGGCTGCCAATCGAGATTATTTATACTATAAAGTTTAAATTTAATTTCATAAATTATTCTAGAACAAAAACTATTAAACCACTTAGAGGTTAGCATTTTTAAAAGAAAAAAAAAACAGAATCTATTTTTGTCTTCTGTATAATAAAGTATATTGTTTTTTTCATATCAGTATGCAAGGATGGGCACACTTTAATAAAAAAAAAAATATCTTGTTGATAATTGATGCGTTTTTCAAATTTTTCTGAGCAATTATTTTAGAATAATGAAATTAAGTATTGCATGAGATTTTGCCTTATTTCCCAAGTTCCTAATCTTTGATACATTCCTCTCCATATGACACATTCCCTCATATATGCTGTAACAACATTATTGAGCACCTTATTGCCTTTACATTATCACCTTCTTTACATCATCATTTTTACCCTATATGTGTCATATTGTCCAGTCGAAATCTTTTACTGCCTAGAAATGTTACATTGCCCAGAGTTGCTGTACTTCCTAGGTATGCCAAACTATGCCACGATGCCATCTTGCCCACATGATGCTACCACATTCTCCCTTACCTTCAGTGCCTACATTTATGGCTACATTCCCTCTGCCTTTATTGCTCAGATTTAGTGAACATTGAAGTTCAGTCTAAGTGACCCACATTTTTGCTAATTTCCTTGCCTCCCTCATATTTCCCTTTGCTTCCAGTACATTTAAGCCCACATACATTCTCTATCACTCACACACTGACTCACTCACACCACGTAAATATAAGTACGCATACATACTCACTCACACCCTCAGAAGTAGGAGCTCCAGCTGCTACTCAAACACTAGACCGTAAGATCTCCAGGAGTGCACTGGACACAAATAATTAGTGTCTGTATGGCTAGCTAATTTACAGACACCTACATGCATTCTTGTTTATTTTAATAACATTTTATATGTAAAGCAAAAAAAAGTATTGCATTTACATTTCTGAAAATGACTAATTCTAGTTATTAATTCCAAGACTCCTGTTAAGTAAAGCATTTAGCTCCCTGGCATGCTTATCTTAATATTGTATTTCAGGGCTCCTTTTAATGTTTTTTTTTTTCAGGTATCCATGTGACGTTTGAGAAAGGTAGGCCTATAATTGCATGCATAGTTCCTATTGTGAAAGTACCGAATATAGTTTGTGGTCTTGTATGGCAGTTACTCAGGTAAACTGATCCAATGAATTCAACAGACTGTTGTAATCCTCTCCTTTTTCTCACCATGTGGTCATACCTGTAGAATAGCAGCCAGCAGGCAGTTTACTTAGCATCCATCACCTTGTTTAATACACCTTCATCAGCAGAGCTCTCATGAACTGTTCTTTTTTTAATTGAAATCCAAGGATTTAGAAACCCAATTACTCCCAGGATGAAGAAAATACATAAAATATTTATGTATACGCTTTTTGTCATTGTTTGGACATTGTCATTTGGCCAAGGTAAGGCAAATAAAATGTAACCAGCTGAATGAAAAAAATTATATAATTATTTAAAATTGTGTGGATAATTATAGTTTAATTAATGTTTAATAAAACTTAATAGATATTTTGTGCTGGTGAGATGAGTTGGAATTATAAGTAGAAGTGCAATATAGAAAAAAACATTCACAAATAGGTTTGTTTACTATTAATTTGTAGACATCTGCCAACCAGATTGCAATATGCAAGGCAAGATGTGACTACGTTTTCCAATGTTTCCAAATGAGCAATTTTTGCATGAATTTTGCAATTCCTCTATCCATTCTCTGTAATTCCCTCTGCTTTGCTAAAGTAGAAACTTTAGGGAGTTAACAAAGTAATTGCAATTTACATGCCAAAATAGCTGAATGTTTTGAAACTTAATGATATTTACATCTTGGCCATATTGAATATTGAATGTCAGTTCTCCAAAAGTCCTAATTTAGGGATTGAAATGTGTAATGCGTTTTATAAAGTGTTGTTTTTTTTTTTCGGAATAGTAAATTTCCCTGCTATTAAATGTTATCATGTCGTTGTTAATACCATTCTATAAGTGGAAATGAAAGGAAATTGTATGTGTATATTATTTTACATTAGAAGGAGATTTTCAACCAAATCACAAGATGACTAAAGGAACCTGAGATGTAATAACGCTTGCATTACAATCCAATGTCATGTTAGCTATTAAAAATGTTTGTTCAGTAAATCATATAATTAAATTGGACACAAAGGTGTTCATTTTTTAAGCTTTACAAATTTTAACATAAAGATGGAAAACAATTATAGTTTTAATAGAGATGGAAAGTATAGAATAAGAATAAAGTTGTAAAGAAGGGGAAAAAGGAAGATGAAGGTAATATTGTAAAAGTTAAATGAAAAGGTAGTTTTTATTGAGAACAGCTTTTCACAGTTTTCAAAATTATTTTGTAGCCTCAGATGACCACGAATTGAGTGGAGAAAGGAATAATAAAATGGGAGAACTGGAATAAAAATTGACAAATTCAGTGGAGTTTAAAATATATCCCCAATCTGGCTTAGATTTTTGTCAATACGTTCCTACTCATGACAGCTCACTATTTAGTGAACAGATCAACATGTCAATACTCTGTTATTCTCTAAACATATTATGACTTTGTTTTTCACAAATCCAGTGAAATAAAAAAAAAAATAGGTTTGGGCACAACCAGTAGTTTCTTTGGCAGGTAGACTTGACAAAGTCTCAAGGTTGCCTAAACATTGTCTACATTTTTGTATTCCACAAAAAAGTCTACCTGTTGAAGAGACTACTAGGTGTACGCATACCTACTTTTTTGTTCCTCTGGATTTGTCTGGGCTTTGGCCCTCTGTGTTTTGGAGCTCCCTAGTGGGAGTAATCCCCAAAAAGTTGTGTGTGCAAGGTCCTCTGAAAATTCTACAAGACGTTTTCACTAAAGTGTGAATTACCTGGAAACCAAAGTGAGTTTCCAATTTTAGGTCAAAACAGTTGAAATGAAAACATATCTGTTTGTGAGAATCTTCCCAATGTGGCTATTTTGGCATATAATTAGATTTCACTCTGAATTACTGACAACTCACACTTAGTGTATAAGCGTGTTAAAAGTGACAATTCTTAGTAGCAGGTCTTCCTCACTAATCAAGAAGAATTAACTTGTGCTCTTCAATATGAGAAATCCACAAACTGGAAATTACATCCAGTAAAGGGTTTACTGTATTATACATTATTTTAAGCATTCGTTGTCAGCTTTCTTAAAGGACCACTATAGTGCCAGGAAAACATACTCGTTTCCTGGCACTATAGTGCCCTGAGGGTGCCCCCACCGTCAGGGTCCCCCTCCTGCTGGGCTCTGGGGAGAGGAAGGGGTTAAAATCTTACCTTTCTCCAGCACCAGGCGGGGAGCTTTCCTCCTACTCTCCTCATTCCTAGCGACGTCATCGGCTGAATGCGCATGCGCGGCCGGTATTTGTGACTAAGTGGCTACTAACAAAGACTGGACATACCCCATTTGCAATACCTTGGGTTGTCTACTATTGCAAATGGTATGCCATCATAGGGGTAATTTTCATTCCTGGGCTACCATACGGTCTCAAAGGCAACGTAACCAATCTGGCAATATCAATGTGAAAATACTGAAACACAAGTCTTATATTTGACTCTGTAACTTTTGAAAACACCATAAAACCTTTATATGAGGGGTACTGTTATACTCAGGAGACTTTGCTGAACACAAATATTACTGTTTCAAAACAGTAAAACGTATCACAACAATTATATCGTCCATGTAAGTGCCATTTGTGTGTGAAAAATGCAAAAAAATGGCACTTTCACTGACGATATCGTTATTGTAATACATTTTACTGTTTTGAAACACTAATATTTATGTTACGCAAAGTATTCCGAGTAAAATAAAAAAAAGAAGAATGTAGCGCTTATATGGTAAATCAATAAGTTATCACCTTTTAGCAATTTTAGAGGAGTTGGTGTTCTTGAATAACCGGCAGATAGATGCCTAAAAAGAAAATAATCAAATCTAGTGTAGACGGTATATCACTGAATAAATTTAAAACAGAGATTGTTTTATAAACTCACAAACAAGGAGCTATAGACCCAGCTCTAGTTTGAATCGCTTTTGGATCCGTTTAGGCGATCCTCCCCTTTTGGTGTTGCAAATCTTGTCCTGAGGGGGTGATAAAAGCAGAAACGATTGCGCAGTACTACTTATGGGTTTTCAATTACATAATAAAAATTCCCAAATGGGTACTTACAAGCCCAGAGTCAAATAATATGACTCAATTCACAAGTGTTGTGCAGTTTTGGGACTGCACTCCCATCCATAAAAGATGAATCCAGGTGTCATGATCAAAGAATAAAAACTTAATTTATTATAACAATGTATAAAACAAAAAAGCAACAATGTGCCCAATACCAGAACGCGTTTCGCCACTACACCAATGCTATTGACCGCTATGCCGCCCATGCGATCGCGAGGTCCTCGCAAGGACCTCGAAATCACATGGCCCAGGGGGGCCGAAAGGCACAGAGGGGGACTCCCTGGGTTGCCAGGTGAGTCCCCACACCACGATCGCCGGCGTGGGATCACAGACAACCGGGTAAGTAGAAAGGACGGCGGGGACGTGCTATGCTGCCACCCAGCGTTTAGAGCTGGGTCCCCAAGGACGGCATAACACGTCCGCCGTCCTTAAGGGGTTAAAGTACTCAGTCATTCTGAAGCTGAGACACTCATGCTAGACATACTCGTTTTCCTGGCACTATAGTGCCCTGAGGGTGCCCCCACCCTCAGGGTCCCCCTCCCGCCCGGCTCTGGAAGGGGGAAAGGGGTAATAACTTACCTTTTTCCAGCGCTGGGGGGAGAGCTCTCCTCCTCCTCTCCGCCTCCGATCCTCCCCGCCGGCTGAATGCGCATGCGGCAAGAGCTGCTCGCGCATTCAGCCGTCGCATAGGAAAGCATTTACAATGCTTTCCTATGGACGCTTGCGTGCTCTCACTGTGAAAATCACAGTGAGAAGCAGCGCGCCTCTAGTGGCTGTCAATGAGACAGCCACTAGAGGATTAGGGGGAAGGCTTAACCCATTCATAATTATAGCAGTTTCTCTGAAACTGCTATAATTATGAAAAAATGGGTTAACCGTAGCTGGACCAGGCACCCAGACCACTTCATTAAGCTGAAGTGGTCTGGGTGCCTAGAGTGGTCCTTTAATGAACAAAAATGTTCAGGAATGTTGGAACTAGTACAGCGAAGGGAAACCCCAGAGTGATTAAACAATACCAGTAATAAAAAATGTAAGACATTATCTCAACTATATTCGATAATAAAACGTAACTTTTATTAGGGAGATTAAAGTGGCACTCTCAACACTACACACAAATACACCCCTGCATTTAACAGTCAACACCACGCACAGATACACTTCTGCATTCAAACACCAACCCCAACATAAATATTCCCCTGCATTAAAATGCAAACATTATGCACAAATACAACACAAATACACACCTACACCAAACAAAAACACTATGTTATGCAAACAATCCTTCCAGGGGAAAAAAAAACATGTATTTTCAAAAATGATGGTTAGGGTGCAATAGAAGAAAAAAAATGACAGATTTAAAGATGGGAAAAAAATATTTGCTAAAAGTTAAGTGTAAAAGTGACAGCAACATTTTGACAAATCTCCAACCAAGTTGTCCCTGAAATTTGTATTCAAATGTTGGCAATTTTGAACATGATTCTTAAGAAGTAAGTAGACACGGGGTTTGCTAGAATTTTGTTTAGAAGTGCTGAATCACTCTCAACTTTGAAGCACCCCATAAGATAACAAAGGCCACCCTACTCATCGACTGGCTGATTTAAAAAAAAAAAAAATGATTTAAAAAAAAATATATTTAATTGGAGCCATACAGTATGAGCATTGTGAGAGAGTGAGATCCTTATCTTGCTGCACATTTACATTTACTCTGTAAAACAGAATGTATGCGTTTGCTGTGGTATGCCTAATGTTGGGGCTGCAAGAGACCCTAATTTCTTAAAAAGAATGTGCTGCATTTTTCTGCTATTTGATAACACTAACAGCGTTATTCACTAAATACTGGGTTTTGTCCAGACGGATTAAATCCGGTGAAAATGACCACATTCCAATGCAATACCAATTCTCATATTTATTATAACCAAATATGATTGTAATTTGGTTGGATGCATTTAGTATCTGTATTAAAAGCAGTGCTTTCTCATTTCAGCCCTGTACAAAGTATAGAATTTGGAAGATTCACTAAACACAGATATTGCTAGTTAGTGAATATCATGTAGGATGCACATTTACAAATTATCGTTTACTGGCTATTTTGCAAGTGAATGATAACCTAAAGAACTATTTAGCACAGGGCTTCCCAAACTTTTATGGGCCGAGACACACTTTTAAAAACAGCAATTTTTTGAGACCCACTCGTTCTTAATGCATATTTAAAAAATGAATACATTTGACCCATCATGGAAATCAGTTTTAGATTACATTTAGTTGGCACATCATGGCAGCTTTAGATACATAAAATTGGCACACCATGGCAATCAGCTTTAGAGGCATACAGTTGGCACACCATTGCAATCTGCTTTAGATGCATACAATTAGTATACCATGGCAATCAGCTTTAGGTGCATACAATTGTTATATCATGGTAATCAATTTTAGATGCATAGATGTGGCATATCATGGCAGAATTAGTGGCATAATTTTGGTATATCATGGTAGTTTAAGAGGCACAAACTTGGCATATGATGGCAGTTTTAGAGGCATACTATTGGGATATCATGGAAGTTGTAATGGCATAATTTTGGCATGTCATGGTAGTTTAGAGGCAGAAACTTGGCACATCATGACAATCAGTTTTAGAGGCATACAACTAGTTACTCACAGACTCAGGCAGAATCAGAAGCTCTGTGTCCTGCTCTTTCATCCAGGCACCTCACCTTGAGTATCCCAGTGATTGAACTAATGTAAAGAGCGCTATGGTGCAAGTACATTTTCTGGGCCCCCCTCTAGTGCAAATGTGGCCAATAGACCCCATCTCTCGGAGATGAAGCTATGCCAGCTGGGGATCCACCATTTGCCTATCCTTGCAGTGTTGTATTTGTTATCAGTGTTTGAGCGTTTCAAGGTAAGCATGTTTTTGTATGAAGTATATGTGTTCATGTCTGGGTGTATTTGTATGTACTGTTGCCATTGGAATGTAGTGGTGTACTTGTGTGTAGTGTTTGCGTCTGAATGCAGGGGTGTGTTTGTATGTAGTGTTGGATTTTAAATGCAGGTGTGCTTTTGTTTGTAGTATTGGTGTTTGAATAAAGGGTGTTTGTATGTAATTTTAGTGTTTTAATACAGGTGTGTGTTTGTATGTAATGTTTGCATTTGATTACAGTGCATGTGTAGTGGATGCAGTGTGTGTGTGTAGTGGATGCAGTGTGTGTGTGTAGTAGATGCAGTGTGTATTTTGTGTATATAAAATATATATACATATACACATTGTGTGTTTGAATGTAATGGTGTTTGAATGGAGGGGTGTTTGTATATCATTTTAGTGTTTTAATTCAGGGGTGTGTTTGTTGCATTTGACTGCAGTGCATGTATAGTGTGTGTATATTGTGCATATAAAAATATGTACATATATACAATGTGTGTTTGAATGTAAGCATGTCTTTGTATAAAGTGTGTATGTGAATGTAGGTGTTTGAATGCAGGTGTGCATTTGTGTGCAGTTTATACACACACGTACAGAGATACACACTGACACACATACAAATACACAGACACACAAATACACACACTGACACAGCGATGCACACACAGAGACACATAATGTCACATAGTTACCCACACAGAGATACACACACATATACCGACCCCGACAAAGATACACAGACACTCATACACACTAACACACAATAAACACACTGACACAAAAATACACAGACATGCACTGACACAAAAGAACACACACATACACATACACACAGATACAGGAGGTGAGGGTGACTGTGTGTGGAGGAGTTGAGGGTGACAGTGTGTGAGGCGGAGGTGATGGGGACTGTGAGGGTGACAGTGTGGGGGAGGTGAGTGTGATAGTGTGGGAATGGGAGGTGAGGGTGACAGGGTGGGGGAGGTGAGGGTGACAGTGTGGGAGGGAGTGTGTCTGTGCTGGTGACAGAGAAAGGGAGTAGTGTGAGAAAGACTGACAGTGTGGATGGCAGTGTGAGAAAGGATTATAGTTGGTGGGCAGGGTGATAAAGGGTTACAGTGGGGGGCAGAGTGAGAAAGGGGTAATGTAGGTGAGCAGGTTGCGAAAGGTTTACAGTGGTGGAGCAGGGTGAGAAAGAGTTACAGTAGGGAGGGCAGTGTGAAACAGGGTTGCAGTATGGGGGTGCAGGGTGAGAAAGGGTTACAGTGTGGGAGGCAGGGTGAAAAAGGGTTACAGTATGGGGGGCAGTGCAGAAAATGGGTGTGCAGGGAGTTCAGCATGAGAAAGGGTTATGCAGGGGCAGAGTGAGAAAGGGTAACAGTGGGGGCATGGTGAGAAAGGGTTCAGTAGGGAGCGCAGGGTGAGAAAGGGTTACAGTAGGGGGCACAGGGTGAGAAAGGGCTACAGTAGAGGGTGCAGGATGAGAAAGGATTTCAGCAGGGATGAAGTGTGAGAAAGTGTTACAGTAGAGGGGTGCAGGGTGAGAAAGGTTTCCAGTGTGGGGGAACGGGATGAGAAAGGGTTACAGCATGGGGGGCAGGGTGAGAAAGGGTCACAGTAGGGGGTCAGAGTGAGAAAGGGTTTCAATGGGGGGCAGTGTGAGTGTCACGGAAGCTACCGTGCCACAGCCTGCTGGGGAGGCATAACATCTAGCCTCCTGCCCACAGACTATGGGCCTGGTCACAGACTTTAAAATTATTTATAGGATATGGGGTTACAGTGTGTTAATGTTAAGTTATTATGTAAAATGTTTAGCAGGATGAAAGCTATTGTGTTAATTGTATTATGTAGAAGCTATTGTGCTATCATGTTTAAGCTTGATTGGAAGATTGTGCTTGTCCCATTCTAGATGTGATAAAGGTGAGGCTTAAGTATTGATCTGTGGGTGGGTATTGATGTCTCTTTTGGATGTGACATTGGAATACAAGGCTTGTTCATACCAAAGGACTCCTTTGATGGAATCAAGACATATGGCCAATGAGAGAGTAAGTTTATACTGAAACCAAATACAAAAAGAAAAGTCCTGCATGCACTCCCCTCACTCTTGGTCGGCACCAATGACTACAGTTCACATCAGCTAATATATATAGTAAAAACCAAAGAAAAAAGTTACCTGCACTCTCTCCTTAATCCCTATGTATATTTAAACAAATGGAGGTCACTGGAGGGAATGGCCGCCTGCCAACGTCAAGGCAGACCCCCCTAGACAGGTTCTACTCTGACCCTTTACCTTGCTTCCTTAAGCTTCTGGCAAAAAATATCTTTAATGAGACAGAAAGAGGTATTTTTTATAAACACCCCTATATACTTTTTAACCCTCAATAGGGAACACATGGGATGGGCGGCAGCATTGTAACCTAGCTCTGTGATACAAAAAGTGAATACAAATACAAAAAGATAAGTCCTGCACACACTCCCATCACTCCTGGGTGGCAGCAATGACTACAGTACACATCGGCTCCAATACATATAGTAAAAACCAAAGAATAAAAGTTACCTGCGCTCTCTCTCTGCTGTAGCTGAATCCAGAACCAGCAAAGGATTAGAGAAGCGGCAACCAAGGGACACTAAGAGACCCTGCAACCTGTGACAGTGATAAAGGGTTACAGTGAGGGGCAGGGTGAGAAAGGGTTAGTGTGAGAAATGGTTAAAGTAGGGGGACAGGGTGAGTAACGGTTACAGGGGGGAGCAGGGAGGGAAAGCGTTACAGTGGGGGGGAGCGGCTGTGAGAGAAGGGATTATAGTGGGGGTGCAGGAAGAGAAAGAGTTACAGTGAGGAGGGGGCAGGGTGTGGGGGGCCGTGCACTACCTTTATTTTTAATGTTATAAATTCCCTGGTGGTCCACTGTCTCACCCTGGTGGTCCAGTGGGTTAACTCTGTGGTCTGCAGCTCCGCCGGGTGCAGAGCTGCAGACCATGTGATAGAAGTCTGGCAAGCTCTGAGAGTGTTGCCACTGTAACACTCTGGGTGCTCGCGAGTCCTCTATCACATGGTCTGCAGCTTTGCACCCGGCAGAGCTGTAGACCAGAGGTGCTGGGCTCTTTCTCGGGCAAGCTAATGGAGGGGCCCGGCAGCTTACAGGTATTAGTTTTATTGCTCCCTCACACATTATTATTAAGTTGAGGGGGATATCTAGAATTAGTTATCTTTTTAATACACGGTGACTAGGGGATTAAGGGCACCTAGCCAAAGGAGGGAGTGGGGGGATGGATGAGGCCATGCCACTGTTTTGGAGGCTGAACAATGGCATGCTTACCCCCAATGTTTAATTATTTAGAGGCCCCGTCTGCCTACCATGTGTGCTTTCTAGGGCGGACACTAAGTCTTCCCAAATATGGTTTGGCACAGCAGGGGACACTAGGTTTTCCAATATTTTAATTACACCAACCAAATGGCAGATGGGGGCATAAGAAAATGTTAACCGTTACAGTAATATTGGAGTCTTATTTACCCCATAGGGATTTTCTTTATTAATATTTTTTTTAACTATTTAATGTGATGGCTGGCTAGCAGGTGCTACCAACAATCACATAGTGTGGATTTTTTTTTTAAATGTGCGCTCACATTTGCAACATTTGGTCTGGACCAAACTCATCTCATTAGTTGCCCTAATTCCAGGATCAGGAAATTGTTAAATAGTGTAAGCAATCTCCAGATTTCCCCATAATTAGCCTGATAGTTTTTCCCATTAGCTACGGGTAATTCAAATTTAGTGAATAACCCCAACAGTATTATAATGTTAATAAATTGTAAAAGTAAAAATGTTTCATTGTCGGCATCCATTTTTATTGTGCCATAAAACTGAACAGTCAACTCTTTGACTCTCTCCTCTCTCCCCGAGAAAGACACCTGAGAAAGACCCAGTGCAGTGCTAAAGCAAAATAATAGACACTTTAATAAAGGAAATATTGTAATTTGCATTTTCTTTGTTAGTTTTTTTGTTGGATTTCTATAATTTCTACCATTCTGTCTCAGGAAAGTGACTACATTCCAAATGTTTAATGGGAGAAAGGCTGTCTCTGGTCTGAAGGCAGAGAGAGAGAGGCTTTAGGGCACCTTTGCACTCTTAAAGAGGCACTGTCACTCTACTTCAAATTATGATTGCAATGCAGTAGAAAAAATGGAAACAAAAGTCTTCTTCAAATAGAGAAAATAATCTATTTACTCTTTCAGACTCCCAGACATCTAATGCAACAGAAACACCAGCTTCAGCTATTAACGGACAAAGCCTGCAAGCTACAAGGGAATATGCGGTAACAGAAATATTGCAGTATGCACCCAAAGAAATAGCAACATCAAATGTTACTGGACCACACTATCAATTTGTTAATGCAGAAAGCCCACTGAACATAGAATCAAAGACTGCAATTTATTCAGAAAATATTTCAACAGCAAAAATAACATTCACTGGAAAAGAAACAACACTATCTTCTTCTACTAAAAGTGGGCAACAAACATTAATGGATAAATATGTTAAAGATGAAAGTATGATATCAAGACAAGAACTGTCTTTTGCAGAAACAACACCATATGCATACAACACAATGCCTTCTCGTGTAAAAGCTGATTTTATGTCTAATATTGTAAAAATAAAAATATTTAGCAATACAGAAACAAAACAATATATAACTGATGAAAAAACACTATCAAATGTTGCAGAAGAATCTCTATCTCCAGAAACAAATGCAAACACATTTAAATACAATGACATATCGACATCTTTAGATACCAAGCATCAATTTACAAGAACACCACTAACTTTAGAAAAGGAAACAATAACTTCAACTCCAGAGGAAATAAGTATATCTACTGGTATATCTACACCTATCAAAGCAGAAGCATCAGCTTTAACAGAATCCGAGACATATTCCATACAGTCTGATCCTCAACCTACATCTACCAATTCAAACATTTATTTTGCTACAGATATTGTGCCATCATCTACTTTGAAAATAGTGCCATCAACAACCAAACAAGCCACCACTACGGCTATTACACAGGAACATCTACTAACAACAGTTTCTGAGACATCTGTCTCCTTGGAAACATGGTCACACGTATCACATGAACTTGCCCTAACTCTCAGTACAGAAAATGAAAATCCTTCATGTAATGCAGAAACAACACAAACTGTGGACAACGAAGAAATTATCTCAACTTCCAAGGAAACTGCAGTATTAACAACTATAGGGCCTGACGCAACAACTTTGAAAGAAAGTGATTATGTATCTAGTTTTCCTTTGGATGCTAAAACAACATCAGTTTCTTCTACTTTCCAAACAGTGCTGACTGGATCGGAGGAAACAAAATTAGATATAACTGATGAAAGGAGAAAGTCAACTCTTGCAGCAGAATCTATCTCTCCCGAAATAAATGTATACACATTTAAATACACTGACATATCGACTTCTCTAGATACCAAGCTTCCGCTTACAAGAACAGAAACACCACTAACTTTAGAAAAGGAAACAATGACTTCAACTGCTGATGAGATAAGTATATCTACTGTTACATCTACAATTATCAAAGATGAACCATCAACTTTAAATGAATCAAAGACATATTCCATACAGTCTGATCATCAACATACATCTACCAATTTTCCTACAGATATTGTGCCATTATCTACTTTGAAAATAGTGCCATCAACATCCAAACAAGCCACCACTACTGCTATCACACAGGAACATCTACTAACAACAGTTTCTGAGACATCTGTCTCCTTGGAAACATGGTCACACGTATCACATGAACTTGCCCTAACTCTCAGTACAGAAAATGAAAATCCTTCATCTACTGCAGAAACACCACAAACTGTGGACAACGAAGAAATGATCTCAATTTCCATGGAAACTGCTTCATCAAAAACTATAGGTTCTAAGGCACAAACTTGGAAAGAAAGTGAATATGTATCTAGTTTTCCAGTGGATACAAAAGCAATAAATCTGATTCCTTCTACTTTGCAAACAATGCTGACTGGATCAGTGGTACTAAATTCAGATATAACTGACGAAAGCGGACTGACAACTGTTGCAGATGAATATATATCTCCAGAAATAAATGTATTCACATTTCAATACACTGACATACAAAGATCTTTAGATAATAGACTTCCATTTACAAGTACACAAACACAACTAACTTTTGAAAAGGAAACCATGACTTCAAATTCTAAGGAGATAAGTATATCTACTGGTCTATCTACATTAATCAAAGACGAACCATCAACTTTAAATGAATCCAAGACATATTCCATACAGTCTGATCATCAACCTACATCTACCAATTCAAACATTTATTTTGCTACAGATATTGTGCCATCATCTACTTTGAAAATAGTGCCATCAACAACCAAACAAGCCACTATGGCTATCACAGAAGAAAATCTACTAACAACAGTTTCTGAGACATCTGTCTCCTTGGAAACATGGTCACACGTATCACATGAACTTGCCCTAACTCTCAGTACAGAAAATGAAAATCCTTCATCTACTGCAGAAACACCACAAACTGTGGACAACGAAGAAATGATCTCAATTTCCATGGAAACTGCTTCATCAAAAACTATAGGTTCTAAGGCACAAACTTGGAAAGAAAGTGAATATGTATCTAGTTTTCCAGTGGATACAAAAGCAATAAATCTGATTCCTTCTACTTTGCAAACAATGCTGACTGGATCAGTGGTACTAAATTCAGATATAACTGACGAAAGCGGACTGACAACTGTTGCAGATGAATATATATCTCCAGAAATAAATGTATTCACATTTCAATACACTGACATACAAAGATCTTTAGATAATAGACTTCCATTTACAAGTACACAAACACAACTAACTTTTGAAAAGGAAACCATGACTTCAAATTCTAAGGAGATAAGTATATCTACTGGTCTATCTACATTAATCAAAGACGAACCATCAACTTTAAATGAATCCAAGACATATTCCATACAGTCTGATCATCAACCTACATCTACCAATTTTGCTACAGATATTGTGCCATTATCTACTTTGAAAATAGTGCCATCAACATCCAAACAAGCCACTATGGGTATCACAGAAGAAAATCTACTAACAACAGTTTCTGAGACATCTGTCTCCTTGGAAACATGGTCACACGTATCACATGAACTTGCACTAACTCTCAGTACAGAAAATGAAAATCCTTCATCTACTGCAGAAACACCACAAATTGTGGACAACGAAGAAATGATCTCAACTTCCATGGAAACTGCACTATTAACAAGTGTAGGGCCTGGCGCAACAACTTTAAAAGAAACTGATTATGTATCTAGTTTTCCTTTGGATGCTAAAACAACAACATCAGTTTCTTCTACTTTCCAAACAATGCTGACTGGATCGGAGGAAACCAATTCAGATAGAACTGATGAAAGGAGACAGTCAACTGTTGCAGCAGAATCTATCTCTCCCGAAATAAATCTATACACATTTAAATACACTGACATATCGACTTCTCTAGATACCAAGCTTCCACTTACAAGAACAGAAACACCACTAACTTTAGAAAAGGAAACAATGACTTCAACTCCTATGGAAATAAGTATATCTACTGGTATATCTACACCTATCAAAGCAGAACCATCAACTTTAACTGTATCCGAGACATATTCCATACAGTCTGATCCTAAACCTACATCTACCAATTCAAACATTTATTTTGCTACAGATATTGTGCCATCATCTACTTTGAAAATAGTGCCATCAACATCCAAACAAGCCACGACTCCGGCTATTACACAGGAACATCTACTAACAACAGTTTCTGAGACATCTGTCTCCTTGGAAACATGGTCACACGTATCACATGAACTTGCCCTAACTCTCAGTACAGAAAATGAAAATCCTTCATCTAATGCAGAAACAATACAAACTGTGGACAACGAAGAAATTATCTCAACTTCCAAGGAAACTGCAGTATTAACAACTATAGGGCCTGACACAACAACTTTGAAAGAAACTGATTATGTATCTAGTTTTCCTTTGGATGCTAAAACAACAACATTAGTTTCTTCTACTTTCCAAACAGTGCTGACTGGATCGGAGGAAACAAAATTAGATATAACTGATGAAAGGAGAAAGTCAACTCTTGCAGCCGAATCTATCTCTCCCGAAATAAATGTATACACATATAAATACACTGACATGTTGACTTCTCTAGATACCAAGCTTCCACTTACAAGAACAGAAACACCACTAACTTTAGAAAAGGAAACAATGACTTCAACTGCTGAGGAGATAAGTATATCTACTGGTACATCTACAACTATCAAAGAAGAACCATCAACTTTAAATGAATCAAAGACATATTCCATACAGTCTGATCATCAACCTACATCTACCAATTTTGCTACAGATATTGTGCCATTATCTACTTTGAAAATAGTGCCATCAACATCCAAACAAGCCACTATGGCTATCACAGAAGAAAATCTACTAACAACAGTTTCTGAGACATCTGTCTCCTTGGAAACATGGTCACACGTATCACATGAACTTGCACTAACTCTCAGTACAGAAAATGAAAATCCTTCATCTACTTCAGAAACACCACAAATTGTGGACAACGAAGAAATGATCTCAACTTCCATGGAAACTGCACTATTAACAAGTGTAGGGCCTGACGCAACAACTTTGAAAGAAACTGATTATGTATCTAGTTTTCCTTTGGATGCTAAAACAACAACATCTGTTTCTTCTACTTTCCAAACAATGCTGACTGGATCGGAGGAAACCAATTCAGATAGAACTTATGAAAGGAGACAGTCAACTGTTGCAGCAGAATCTATCTCTCCCGAATTAAATGTATACACATTTAAATACACTGACATATCGACTTCTCTAGATACCAAGCTTCCACTTACAAGAACAGAAACACCACTAACTTTAGAAAAGGAAACAATGACTTCAACTCCTATGGAAATAAGTATATCTACTGGTATATCTACACCTATCAAAGCAGAACCATCAACTTTAACTGTATCCGAGACATATTCCATACAGTCTGATCCTAAACCTACATCTACCAATTCAAACATTTATTTTGCTACAGATATTGTGCCATCATCTACTTTGAAAATAGTGCCATCAACATCCAAACAAGCCACCACTCCGGCTATTACACAGGAACATCTACTAACAACAGTTTCTGAGACATCTGTCTCCTTGGAAACATGGTCACACGTATCACATGAACTTGCCCTAACTCTCAGTACAGAAAATGAAAATCCTTCATCTAATGCAGAAACAATACAAACTGTGGACAACGAAGAAATTATCTCAACTTCCAAGGAAACTGCAGTATTAACAACTATAGGGCCTGACACAACAACTTTGAAAGAAACTGATTATGTATCTAGTTTTCCTTTGGATGCTAAAACAACAACATTAGTTTCTTCTACTTTCCAAACAGTGCTGACTGGATCGGAGGAAACAAAATTAGATATAACTGATGAAAGGAGAAAGTCAACTCTTGCAGCAGAATCTATCTCTCCCGAAATAAATGTATACACATTTAAAAACACTGACATATCGACTTCTCTAGATACCAAGCTTCCACTTACAAGAACAGAAACACCACTAACTTTAGAAAAGGAAACAATGACTTCAACTGCTGAGGAGATAAGTATATCTACTGGTACATCTACAACTATCAAAGAAGAACCATCAACTTTAAATGAATCAACGACATATTCCATACAGTCTGGTCATCAACCTACATCTACCAATTTTGCTACAGATATTGTGCCATTATCTTCTTTGAAAATAGTGCCATCAACATCCAAACAAGCCACTATGGGTATCACAGAAGAAAATCTACTAACAACAGTTTCTGAGACATCTGTCTCCTTGGAAACATGGTCACACGTAACACATGAACTTGCACTAACTCTCAGTACAGAAAATGAAAATCCTTCATCTACTGCAGAAACACCACAAATTGTGGACAACGAAGAAATGATCTCAACTTCCATGGAAACTGCAGTATTAACAACTATAGGGCCTGACACAACAACTTTGAAAGAAAGTGATTATGTATCTAGTTTTCCTTTGGATGCTAAAACAACAACATTAGTTTCTTCTACTTTCCAAACAGTGCTGATTGGATCGGAGGAAACAAAATCAGATATAACTGACGAAATGCGAGAGTCAACTGTTGCAGCAGAATCTATCTCTCCCGAATTAAATGTATACACATTTAAATACACTGACATATCGACTTCTCTAGATACCAAGCTTCCACTTACAAGAAAAGAAACACCACTAACTTTAGAAAAGGAAAAAATTACTTCAACTCCTGAGGAAATAAGTATATCTACTGGTATATCTACAAATATTAAAGCAGAACCATCAACTTTAACTGTATCCGAGATATATTCCATACAGTATGATCCTAAACCTACGTCTACCAATTCAAACATTTATTTTTCTACAGATATTGTGCCATCATCTACTTTGAAAATAGTGCCATCAACAACCAAAGAAGCCACTATGGCTATCACAGAAGAAAATCTACTAACAACAGTTTCTGAGACATCTGTCTCCTTGGAAACATGGTCACACGTATCACATGAACTTGCACTAACTCTCAGTACAGAAAATGAAAATCCTTCATCTAAAGCAGAAACACCACAAACTGTGGACAACGAAGAAATTATCTCAACTTCCATGGAAACTTCACTATTAACAAGTGTAGGGCCTGACACAACAACTTTGAAAGAAAGTGATTATGTATCTAGTTTTCCTTTGGATGCTAAAACAACAACATTAGTTTCTTCTATTTTCCAAACAGTGCTGACTGGATCGGAGGAAACAAAATCAGATATAACTGACGAAATGAGACAGTCAACTGTTGCAGCAGAATCTATCTCTCCCGAAATAAATGTATACACATTTAAATACACTGACATGTTGACTTCTCTAGATACCAAGCTTCCACTTACAATAACAGAAACACCACTAACTTTAGAAAAGGAAACAATGACTTCAACTCCTGAGGAAATAAGTATATCTACTGGTATATCTACAAATATCAAAGCAGAACCATCAACTTTAACTGTATCCGAGATATATTCCATACAGTCTGATCCTAAACCTACATCTACCAATTCAAACATTTATTTTTCTACAGATATTGTGCCATCATCTACTTTGAAAATAGTGCCATCAACAACCAAAGAAGCCACTATGGCTATCACAGAAGAAAATCTACTAACAACAGTTTCTGAGACATCTGTCTCCTTGGAAACATGGTCACACGTATCACATGAACTTGCCCTAACTCTCAGTATAGAAAATGAAAATCCTTCATCTACTGCAGAAACACCACAAACTGTGGACAATGAAGAAATGATCTCAACTTACCTGGAAACTGCAGTGTTAACAACTATATCGAATGAGGCAACAACTTTGAAAGAAACTGATTATGTATCTAGTTTTCCTTTGGATGCTAAAACAACAACATCAGTTTCTTCTACTTTCCAAACAATGCTGACTGGATCGGAGGAAACCAATTCAGATAGAACTGATGAAAGGAGACAGTCAACTGTTGCAGCAGAATCTATCGCTCCGAATTAAATGTATACACATTTAAATACACTGACATATCGACTTTTCTAGATACCAAGCTTCCACTTACAAGAACAGAAACACCACTAACTTTAGAAAAGGAAAAATGACTTCAACTCCTATGGAAATAAGTATATCTACTGGTATATCTACACCTATCAAAGCAGAACCATCAACTTTAACTGTATCCGAGACATATTCCATACAGTCTGATCCTAAACCTACATCTACCAATTCAAACATTTATTTTGCTACAGATATTGTGCCATCATCTACTTTGAAAATAGTGCCGTCAACATCCAAACAAGCCACTATGGCTATCACAGAAGAAAATCTACTAACAACAGTTTCTGAGACATCTGTCTCCTTGGAAACATGGTCACATGTATCACATGAATTTGCCCTAACTCTCAGTACAGAAAATGAAAATCCTTCATCTACTGCAGAAACACCACAAACTGTGGACAATGAAGAAATGATCTCAACTTACCTGGAAACTGCAGTATTAACAACTATAGGGCATGAGGCAACAACTTTGAAAGAAAGTGATTATGTATCTAGTTTTCCTTTGGATGCTAAAATAACAACATTAGTTGCTTCTACTTTCCAAACAGTGCTGACTGGATCGGAGGAAACAAAATTAGATATAACTGATGAAAGGAGACAGTCAACTGTTGCAGCTGAATCTATCTCTCCCGAAATAAATGTATACACATTTAAATACACTGACATATCGACTTCTCTAGATACCAAGCTTCCACTTACAAGAACAGAAACACCACTAACTTTAGAAAAGGAAACAATGACTTCAACTCCTGAGGAAATAAGTATATCTACTGGTATATCTACATCTATCAAAGCAGAACCATCAACTTTAACTGTATCCGAGACATATTCCATACAGTCTGATCCTAAACCTACATCTACCAATTCAAACATTTATTTTGCTACAGATATTGTGCCATCATCTACTTTGAAAATAGTGCCATCAACAACCAAACAAGCCACTATGGCTATCACAGAAGAAAATCTACTAACAACAGTTTCTGAGACATCTGTCTCCTTGGAAACATGGTCACACGTATCACATGAACTTGCCCTAACTCTCAGTACAGAAAATGAAAATCCTTCATCTACTGCAGAAACACCACAAACTGTGGACAATGAAGAAATGATCTCAACTTACCTGGAAACTGCAGTATTAACAACTATAGGGCCTGAGGCAACAACTTTGAAAGAAAGTGATTATGTATCTAGTTTTCCTTTGGATGCTAAAACAACAACATTAGTTTCTTCTATTTTCCAAACAGTGCTGACTGGATCGGAGGAAACAAAATCAGATATAACTGACGAAATGAGACAGTCAACTGTTGCAGCAGAATCTATCTCTCCCGAATTAAATGTATACACATTTAAATACACTGACATATCGACTTCTCTAGATACCAAGCTTCCACTTACAAGAACAGAAACACCACAAACTTTAGAAAAGGAAAAAATGACTTCAGCTCCTGAGGAAATAAGTATATCTACTGGTATATCTACAAATATCAAAGCAGAACCATCAACTTTAACTGTATCCGAGATATATTCCATACAGTCTGATCCTAAACCTACATCTACCAATTCAAACATTTATTTTTCTACAGATATTGTGCCATCATCTACTTTGAAAATAGTGCCATCAACAACCAAAGAAGCCACTATGGCTATCACAGAAGAAAATCTACTAACAACAGTTTCTGAGACATCTCTCTCCTTGGAAACATGGTCACACGTATCACATGAACTTGCCCTAACTCTCAGTACAGAAAATGAAAATCCTTCATCTAATGCAGAAACAATACAAACTGTGGACAATGAAGAAATTATCTCAACTTCCAAGGAAACTGCAGTATTAACAACTATAGGGCCTGACACAACAACTTTGAAAGAAAGTGATTATGTATCTAGTTTTCCTTTGGATGCTAAAACAACAACATTAGTTTCTTCTACTTTCCAAAGAGTGCTGACTGGATCGGAGGAAACAAAATTAGATATAACTGATGAAAGGAGAAAGTCAACTCTTGCAGCAGAATCTATCTCTCCCGAAATAAATGTATACACATTTAAATACACTGACATATCGACTTCTCTAGATACCAAGCTTCCACTTACAAGAACAGAAACACCACTAACTTTAGAAAAGGAAACAATGACTTCAACTCCTGAGGAAATAAGTATATCTACTGGTATATCTACACCTATCAAAGCAGAACCATCAACTTTAACTGTATCCGAGACATATTCCATACAGTCTGATCCTAAACCTACATCTACCAATTCAAACATTTATTTTGCTACAGATATTGTGCCATCATCTACTTTGAAAATAGTGCCATCAACAACCAAACAAGCCACTATGGCTATCACAGAAGAAAATCTACTAACAACAGTTTCTGAGACATCTGTCTCCTTGGAAACATGGTCACACGTATCACATGAACTTGCCCTAACTCTCAGTACAGAAAATGAAAATCCTTCATCTACTGCAGAAACACCACAAACTGTGGACAACGAAGAAATTATCTCAACTTCCATGGAAACTTCACTATTAACAAGTGTAGGGCCTGACGCAACAACTTTGAAAGAAACTGATTATGTATCTAGTTTTCCTTTGGATGCTAAAACAACAACATCAGTTTCTTCTACTTTCCAAACAATGCTGACTGGATCGGAGGAAACCAATTCAGATAGAACTGATGAAAGGAGACAGTCAACTGTTGCAGCAGAATCTATCGCTCCCGAATTAAATGTATACACATTTAAATACACTGACATATCGACTTTTCTAGATACCAAGCTTCCACTTACAAGAACAGAAACACCACTAACTTTAGAAAAGGAAAAAATGACTTCAACTCCTGAGGAAATAAGTATATCTACTGGTATATCTACATCTATCAAAGTAGAACCATCAACTTTAACTGTATCCGAGACATATTCCATACAGTCTGATCCTAAACCTACATCTACCAATTCAAACATTTATTTTGCTACAGATATTGTGCCATCATCTACTTTGAAAATAGTGCCATCAACAACCAAAGAAGCCACTATGGCTATCACAAAAGAAAATCTACTAACAACAGTTTCTGAGACATCTGTCTCCTTGGAAACATGGTCACACGTATCACATGAACTTGCCCTAACTCTCATTACAGAAAATGAAAATCCTTCATCTACTGCAGAAACACCACAAACTGTGGACAATGAAGAAATGATCTCAACTTACCTGGAAACTGCACTATTAACAACTATAGGGACTGAGGCAACAACTTTGAAAGAAAGTGATTATGTATCTAGTTTTCCTTTGGATGCTAAAACAACAACATTAATTTCTTCTACTTTCCAAACAGTGCTGACTGGATCGGAGGAAACAAAATCAGATATAACTGACGAAATGAGACAGCCAACTGTTGCAGCAGAATCTATCTCTCCCGAAGTAAATGTATACACCTTTAAATACACTGACATATCAACTTCTCTAGATATTAAGCTTCCACTTACAAGAACAGAAACACCACTAACTTTAGAAAAGGAAACAATGACTTCAGCTCCTGATGAAATAAGTATATCTACTGGTATATCTACACCTATCAAAGCAGAACCATCAACTTTAACTGTATCCGAGACATATTCCATACATTCTGATCCTAAACCTACATCTACCAATTCAAACATTTATTTTGCTACAGATATTGTGCCATCATCTACTTTGAAAATAGTGCCATCAACAACCAAACAAGCCACTATGGCTATCACAGAAGAAAATCTACTAACAACAGTTTCTGAGACATCTGTCTCCTTGGAAACATGGTCACACGTATCACATGAACTTGCACTAACTCTCAGTACAGAAAATGAAAATCCTTCATCTACTGCAGAAACACCACAAATTGTGGACAACAAAGAAATGATCTCAACTTCCATGGAAACTGCACTATTAACAACTATAGGGCCTGACACAACAACTTTGAAAGAAAGTGATTATGTATCTAGTTTTCCTTTGGATGCTAAAACAACAACATTAGTTTCTTCAATTTTCCAAACAGTGCTGACTGGATCGGAGGAAACAAAATCAGATATAACTAACGAAATGAGACAGTCAACTGTTGCAGCAGAATCTATCTCTCCTGAATTAAATGTATACACATTTAAATACACTGACATATCGACTTCTCTAGATACCAAGCTTCCACTTACAAGAACAGAAACACCACTAACTTTAGAAAAGGAAAAAATGACTTCAACTCCTGAGGAAATAAGTATATCTACTGGTATATCTACATCTATCAAAGCAGAACCATCAACTTTAACTGTATCCGAGACATATTCCATACAGTCTGATCCTAAACCTACATCTACCAATTCAAACATTTATTTTGCTACAGATATTGTGCCATCATCTACTTTGAAAATAGTGCCATCAACAACCAAAGAAGCCACTATGGCTATCACAAAAGAAAATCTACTAACAACAGTTTCTGAGACATCTGTCTCCTTGGAAACATGGTCACACGTATCACATGAACTTGCCCTAACTCTCATTACAGAAAATGAAAATCCTTCATCTACTGCAGAAACACCACAAACTGTGGACAATGAAGAAATGATCTCAACTTACCTGGAAACTGCACTATTAACAACTATAGGGACTGAGGCAACAACTTTGAAAGAAAGTGATTATGTATCTAGTTTTCCTTTGGATGCTAAAACAACAACATTAATTTCTTCTACTTTCCAAACAGTGCTGACTGGATCGGAGGAAACAAAATCAGATATAACTGACTAAATGAGACAGCCAACTGTTGCAGCAGAATCTATCTCTCCCGAAGTAAATGTATACACCTTTAAATACACTGACATATCAACTTCTCTAGATATTAAGCTTCCACTTACAAGAACAGAAACACCACTAACTTTAGAAAAGGAAACAATGACTTCAGCTCCTGATGAAATAAGTATATCTACTGGTATATCTACACCTATCAAAGCAGAACCATCAACTTTAACTGTATCCGATATATATTCCATACAGTCTGATCCTCAACCTACGTCTACCAATTCAAACATTTATTTTTCTACAGATATTGTGCCATCATCTACTTTGAAAATAGTGCCATCAACATCCAAACAAGCCACTATGGCTATCACAGAAGAAAATCTACTAACAACAGTTTCTGAGACATCTGTCTCCTTGGAAACATGGTCACACGTATCACATGAACTTGCCCTAACTCTCAGTACAGAAAATGAAAATCCTTCATCTACTGCAGAAAACCCACAAACTGTGGACAACGAAGAAATTATCTCAACTTCCATGGAAACTTCACTATTAACAAGTGTAGGGCCTGACGCAACAACTTTGAAAGAAACTGATTATGTATCTAGTTTTCCTTTTGATGCTAAAACAACAACATTAGTTTCTTCTATTTTCCAAACAGTGCTGACTGGATCGGAGGAAACAAAATCAGATATAACTGACGAAATGAGACAGTCAACTGTTGCAGCAGAATCTCTCTCTCCCGAATTAAATGTATACACATTTAAATACACTGACATATCGACTTCTCTAGATACCAAGCTTCCACTTACAAGAACAGAAACACCACTAACTTTAGAAAAGGAAACAATGACTTCAACTCCTGAGGAAATAAGTATATCTACTGGTATATCTACACCTATCAAAGCAGAACCATCAACTTTAACTGTATCCGAGACATATTCCATACAGTCTGATCCTAAACCTACATCTACCAATTCAAACATTTATTTTGCTACAGATATTGTGCCATCATCTACTTTGAAAATAGTGCCATCAACAACCAAACAAGCCACTATGGCTATCACAGAAGAAAATCTACTAACAAAAGTTTCTGAGACATCTGTCTCCTTGGAAACATGGTCACACGTATCACATGAACTTTCCCTAACTCTCAGTACAGAAAATGAAAATCCTTCATCTACTGCAGAAACACCACAAACTGTGGACAATGAAGAAATGATCTCAACTTACCTGGAAACTGCAGTATTAACAACTATAGGGCCTGAGGCTACAACTTTGAAAGAAAGTGATTATGTATCTAGTTTTCCTTTGGATGCTAAAACAACAACATTAATTTCTTCTACTTTCCAAACAGTGCTGACTGGATCGGAGGAAACAAAATCAGATATAACTGACGAAATGAGACAGCCAACTGTTGCAGCAGAATCTATCTCTCCCGAAGTAAATGTATACACATTTAAATACACTGACATATCGACTTCTCTAGATATTAAGCTTCCACTTACAAGAACAGAAACACCACTAACTTTAGAAAAGGAAAATGACTTCAGCCCTGAGGAAATAAGTATATCTTACTGGTATATCTACAAATATCAAAGCAGAACCATCAACTTTGAACTCGTATCCGAGATATATTCCGCCAGTCTGATCCTAAAACCTAAGACCTTACCAATTCAAACATTTATTTTTCTACAGATATTGTCATCTACTTTGAAAATAGTGCCATCAACATCCAAACAAGCCACCACTACGGCTATTACACAGGAACATCTACTAACAACAGTTTCTGAGACATCTGTCTCCTTGGAAACATGGTCACACGTATCACATGAACTTGCCCTAACTCTCAGTACAGAAAATGAAAATCCTTCATCTACTGCAGAAACACCACAAATTGTGGACAACGAAGAAATTATCTCAACTTCCAAGGAAACTACAGTATTAACAACTATAGGGCCTGACACAACAACTTTGAAAGAAAGTGATTATGTATCTAGTTTTCCTTTGGATGCTAAAACAACAACATTAGTTTCTTCTACTTTCCAAACAGTGCTGACTGGATCGGAGGAAACCAATTCAGATAGAACTGATGAAAGGAGACAGTCAACTGTTGCAGCAGAATCTATCTCTCCCGAATTAAATGTATACACATTTAAATACACTGACATATCGACTTCTCTAGATATTAAGCTTCCACTTACAAGAACAGAAACACCACTAACTTTAAAAAAGGAAACAATGACTTCAGCTCCTGATGAAATAAGTATATCTACTGGTATATCTACACCTATCAAAGCAGAACCATCAACTTTAACTGTATCCGAGATATATTCCATACAGTCTGATCCTCAACCTACGTCTACCAATTCAAACATTTATTTTTCTACAGATATTGTGCCATCATCTACTTTGAAAATAGTGCCATCAACAACCAAACAAGCCACTATGGCTATCACAGAAGAAAATCTACTAACAAAAGTTTCTGAGACATCTGTCTCCTTGGAAACATGGTCACACGTATCACATGAACTTGCCCTAACTCTCAGTACAGAAAATGAAAATCCTTCATCTACTGCAGAAACACCACAAACTGTGGACAATGAAGAAATGATCTCAACTTACCTGGAAACTGCAGTATTAACAACTATAGGGCCTGAGGCAACAACTTTGAAAGAAATTGATTATGTATCTAGTTTTCCTTTGGATGCTAAAACAACAACATTAGTTTCTTCTATTTTCCAAACAGTGCTGACTGGATCGGAGGAAACAAAATCAGATATAACTAACGAAATGAGACAGTCAACTGTTGCAGCAGAATCTATCTCTCCCGAATTAAATGTTTACACATTTAAATACACTGACATATCGACTTCTCTAGATACCAAGCTTCCACTTACAAGAACAGAAACACCACAAACTTTAGAAAAGGAAAAAATGACTTCAGCTCCTGAGGAAATAAGTATATCTACTGGTATATCTACAAATATCAAAGCAGAACCATCAACTTTAACTGTATCCGAGATATATTCCATACAGTCTGATCCTAAACCTACATCTACCAATTCAAACATTTATTTTTCTACAGATATTGTGCCATCATCTACTTTGAAAATAGTGCCATCAACAACCAAAGAAGCCACTATGGCTATCACAGAAGAAAATCTACTAACAACAGTTTCTGAGACATCTCTCTCCTTGGAAACATGGTCACACGTATCACATGAACTTGCCCTAACTCTCAGTACAGAAAATGAAAATCCTTCATCTAATGCAGAAACAATACAAACTGTGGACAATGAAGAAATTATCTCAACTTCCAAGGAAACTGCAGTATTAACAACTATAGGGCCTGACACAACAACTTTGAAAGAAAGTGATTATGTATCTAGTTTTCCTTTGGATGCTAAAACAACAACATTAGTTTCTTCTACTTTCCAAAGAGTGCTGACTGGATCGGAGGAAACAAAATTAGATATAACTGATGAAAGGAGAAAGTCAACTCTTGCAGCAGAATCTATCTCTCCCGAAATAAATGTATACACATTTAAATACACTGACATATCGACTTCTCTAGATACCAAGCTTCCACTTACAAGAACAGAAACACCACTAACTTTAGAAAAGGAAACAATGACTTCAACTCCTGAGGAAATAAGTATATCTACTGGTATATCTACACCTATCAAAGCAGAACCATCAACTTTAACTGTATCCGAGACATATTCCATACAGTCTGATCCTAAACCTACATCTACCAATTCAAACATTTATTTTGCTACAGATATTGTGCCATCATCTACTTTGAAAATAGTGCCATCAACATCCAAACAAGCCACTATGGCTATCACAGAAGAAAATCTACTAACAACAGTTTCTGAGACATCTGTCTCCTTGGAAACATGGTCACACGTATCACATGAACTTGCCCTAACTCTCAGTACAGAAAATGAAAATCCTTCATCTACTGCAGAAACACCACAAACTGTGGACAACGAAGAAATTATCTCAACTTCCATGGAAACTACAGTATTAACAACTATAGGGCCTGACACAACAACTTTGAAAGAAAGTGATTATGTATCTAGTTTTCCTTTGGATGCTAAAACAACAACATTAGTTTCTTCTACTTTCCAAACAGTGCTGACTGGATCGGAGGAAACCAATTCAGATAGAACTGTTGAAAGGAGACAGTCAACTGTTGCAGCAGAATCTATCTCTCCCGAATTAAATGTATACACATTTAAATACACTGACATATCGACTTCTCTAGATATTAAGCTTCCACTTACAAGAACAGAAACACCACTAACTTTAGAAAAGGAAACAATGACTTCAGCTCCTGATGAAATAAGTATATCTACTGGTATATCTACATCTATCAAAGCAGAACCATCAACTTTAGAAAAGGAAAAAATGACTTCAACTCCTGAGGAAATAAGTATATCTACTGGTATATCTACATCTATCAAAGCAGAACCATCAACTTTAACTGTATCCGAGACATATTCCATACAGTCTGATCCTAAACCTACATCTACCAATTCAAACATTTATTTTGCTACAGATATTGTGCCATCATCTACTTTGAAAATAGTGCCATCAACATCCAAACAAGCCACCACTACGGCTATTACACAGGAACATCTACTAACAACAGTTTCTGAGACATCTGTCTCCTTGGAAACATGGTCACACATATCACATGAACTTGCCCTAACTCTCAGTACAGAAAATGAAAATCCTTCATCTAATGCAGAAACAATACAAACTGTGGACAACGAAGAAATTATCTCAACTTCCAAGGAAACTGCAGTATTAACAACTATAGGGCCTGACACAACAACTTTGAAAGAAACTGATTATGTATCTAGTTTTCCTTTGGATGCTAAAACAACAACATTAGTTTCTTCTACTTTCCAAACAGTGCTGACTGGATCGGAGGAAACAAAATTAGATATAACTGATGAAAGGAGAAAGTCAACTCTTGCAGCAGAATCTATCTCTCC